GATGTAATGAACTTTGCAAAGAGAGGCAGAGGAGGATTAGTGCAGGGCACAGATGGGGTCCCTCAGCAGAGGGTCTGCTAGTTCCCAGACAGGAGTGTGGCAGTTGCCCCATGTTTCCCAGCAGAGCTGCCTGTCCCTCGAGGTTTTGCTGGGACGGAGCTAAACCTCATTGGCAGGTGAGGGCTGGGCTGTCTCACCAACAGGAAACAGCTCCACCATTTCAAACTGTTTTGGCCTCTTCAGTGTTGTTGTGGGGCTGCTCGAGCCTGTGACTTGCTGGCCCCTCCCAGCCCACAGGTCTGACAGCAACTGGGCAGCACCTTGGTTGTGAGGAGTCTCAGCGCCTGGCAAGGCCAAGGAGACAGGGATGCCTGTGCACTGCCTGTTGGCCAGGCCCCCATGTCTGAGCCTTGGTTTTGCCGGGAGGAGAGGGAAGGCAGGATCTGGGAGGCTGAGCCAGGGGTTGGGCTGAATCGTTGGGTTTGTGCCAGAGACCCTGGCTGCCTTCAGCCGGTATTATCCCCCCGTTTGTCTGCTAAATAATTGAGCAGATTTTCTATTAAGCCTCCTTTGGAGTGAGGTAATGGAACGGTGTTGGCCAGAGCTTGTGTAAGGATCCTGGTGAGAATGAGCAGCAGGGGAAGGGGTGAGGCCCAAAGGTGAGGCTCTTGGTCCCCTGCGTGCGAGGGCACCTTGTAATTAGGACTGGGCATGTAGGTTGGAACAGGCTTTGTGGAAAGCAAGTGGTCAGAGTGGAGACGAGCCATGTTGTGCTGGGGCTTGGCCACCACTCTGCTCCTTGGGCTTCCCCCATGCCCCATGGACACCATCCCCTCAGAGGCAGGGGGAGCAAGGCCGGGCAGCACGTTCCCCAGCCCTGCCCCAGTGTGAGTCTGGAGAGTCTGGGCATGTGCAAGGAGCCAGTGAACTTGTCTGCAGCTCAACTGGACAAGAAAAGACATAAGCAGCCTTCAGGGTGCATCTCCCAAGGACTTCCAAAAGATGGAGAAGATGGAGGGGAATAGCACTGTGGTCACCAGGAACATGGTGGTTCTAGGCAGCAGAGCACAGGATAGGAATCCTGGGCCAGAAACAACCACACCAGGCCAGAAACAACCACGCTGTGCCAGTGGGATGCTGAGCACAAGCCAACAGGACCTGCCAGGAGGAGCAGCACCAGGCTGGCATGATATTGGGGTAATTCTGGCTGGATCTCTGTAGTCTTCTCCTTTACCCAGTACAGGTGGGTGCAGAGGGACAGACTGGCAGGAAGGAGGAGACCGAGAGGCTCCCTGGGCAGAAGTAGAGCGTTGGTGAGCAGGAAGATGAGGAGGCATGAGGCCAGGTGGGGGACGCAGGCTAAGCAGACTGTTCTATTGCTAGATGGCTTTGGGGTCACCTCCACTATAAAAGTCACAGAAGATCCCAGTCTGCAGGTTCCTAAACTCACACTGGCCACCCACCTGTGTGCTTGAGCACTGCCAGGACCCTGAGCCGGTCCCCACTGGACATGAGTGTTCTCTGCATAGGACACTGTAATTACTGTTCATTTAAACACTAATGCTTCTTCAACACATACTGATGAGCGAGCTGTGGTGGAAGGAGGTGCAGGAGTAGACATCTCGTGGACCACTCAGTTTAAAGGAGTCCTTGCTGCCTTGCTCTAAAAACTCAGAAAATGAGTGGTGCTCAAGTCTTGCAGCGTGTAACATGTTGGGGTGAGCGTGAGCTGGAGCAGGGAGGAATGACTAGCTCAGACCTAGGTTTCATAGTTAAAAAAGGAGCCTGACCTTACTGGTCCTAGAGTTTTTACAAGCTGCCAGCTCCAAGAGCTGCGTCCTGAGCAGTGGGACTGCCAAGGCTGGATCTCCCAGCCCCTCGGGGCTGCTGGGCACATGCTGGGAGGCAGGAGCAGACATTGTGCTGACCAGCACCAGGCTTCACTGCTTCGAGCTCGGAAACCTGTGAGCATCGTAAGGAAAGGATCCAGGTCCAGCCATGCACCTCGTGTGTCCAGCCCCAGTGGCAGGAGGAGAGGAAGAGATGACACTCAGCATCCCCATGTTGTCCTGGCTGAGGTGTGAAGTGTCAGGGGAGACAGGAGTCAGCGTTGGGGGCTGGTCCCCAAAGCGAGTCCTTACCCCTGCCTGCGCAGGCGTGGGTCCCTGCGTGCTGGGGATGCCGTGCTTTGTGCTGACCCATTACTTTACCCTGCGGAGTCGAGGAGTGGGAGGCCAGTTTGGCAGCGAGCCGGGGCTGTAATGGTGCAGATGGCTGCCGAGAGAGGATGGTGTATTCCTCAGGGACCCTCCATTACCTTTCCCAACTCCTGCCTGTCAGCGAGGCTCTGCTCCTGGCTATGTTTTTCCTTGCTGAGATGATTTGCCTTTCAAGCTGCTTAATGAACTGCTTCAGCAGTTCAGATTGCTTTGCTTGTTGGAGCAGCAATGTGCTGCAGGGTCCTTCCCAAGCATCAGGAAGGTGGGAAATGCAGCGGCAGGATTTTCCTGGGTAAAGGCAGCGAGAGCCCTTGGGGCAGCACTGACACAAACCTCAGATTTGCTGTGCCCGGCATAGTGGGGCTCAGCCTTCCTGCAGGGATAGGAGAATTGTGGCCAGCCTAGAAGAGCTCCTCTGGGCTTCTCCAGGCTGGTGTGTCCCCAGAGAGGCCCTCGGGAGCTTTTCTTACACTCCAGTTGGCCTGAGCTTTTCCTGAGCTTCAGTCATTCGCCTCAGCTGAGGATGCAAGTTTGTAAGAACACTAATGCCTGGGAGGCTGATGTTGGCACTGGGGAGGGGGAAGGTTTGCAAGGAGACCTACAAGGATGGTGTAGAAGAGCAGCAGTAACACCCCCTCGGGGTGCTGGAGCCTGAAGCAGCACTTCACCTTTCCTTTTGGAGGAAGACACGGTGCTTAGATGCAGCATGTGCTCCAGCACAGACTAAGGTGGCAGGCATGGGCCACACTTGGGGCAGTGCCCTTGTTGAGTTTGGACATGGACCCTCTCGACTGGGTCTCTTCTCTTTCCCAGATATTCCCAAGGCAAATTCAATCCATCCTTCCCATGGGATCCCTGCCTGGGTGCCAAGCCAGGGGATGGCATTGCCTCAGCTCCATCCTGTCCTTGGATGGGTGGGGGGTTTCTGACAAGTGCTTTGGGCACGGATGACTTTTTGCTGGGAAAAAAGCTGCTTGTTTCCTGGCTGAAAAGGTTGAAGGATGGGTGCTAGTGGTGTCCCAGTGCTGCATGGACCTTCCCTCCCTCTGCGAGGTCAGGCAGCGTTACGGGGGGCAGAGCCGCTCCCTGTGCTGGGGTGATGCAAGGCTGGGTGTCGGGGGAAGCAGGGCAGGTCTCCAGTGAGTTGGGGGCTCCATCCGCAGAGGGCACCAGGGCTCAGCCAAGACGGGGCCAGTCCGACCCCAAGCGGGTCACCCCAGAGTGCCTCTCCCCTGCATCTAAATCCTGCTCGTCCCTTTTGGGGTCTGGATGTGCCCTTGTGTCACTTGGTGCTGCTCCCTCCCCAGCTCCCAGTCTTCACTTTGGACACCTGCCCTCCCAGGGACCA